TAATTCTATTGTGGTCCTCTGGTCGTATCGGCAGACGTTGCAGCCGGCGAAGATGAAGGTAGCTCGGCTGTGGTCCGGACTACGGCGCTCGGCTCGCCTATGGTCGAAATGACGTTTGGCTCGGTTGCGGGCGGGACGACGCTCGCCTCCGACCCGGCCTCTGCCATGGTAGGCTGGACGATGTCTTCCTAGCGCGCACCTACGGCCACCATCGAGCAACGAGCCTCCATCACTCACCGCGTGGTGACCTGCTCGGTGACCACCTGTGCGTGTGGCGCCAAGCTTTCCCCCAGCGCCTGGATCTCGTTCGCACTCCACCCGCTGTCATATCCTCTGCAGGCGGCCGTAAAGTCTAGGTCAGGGTAGTGGGTCGCCACCGACATCAGCAGCCCCGACGTCCCGTAGAACATGCCATCGGAGATGAGTGCCCGAACCTCATTCGGGACCTCCGTTAGCTGGACGGCGGGCGTGCTAGTGCTAGGGCCCGACCCGAACACCTTAGCGACCACCACCTGCACGATGTTGCGGAGTTGGTTGAGCTCTCCCTCGAGAACGCTTCGCTCCTCTAGGGACCAGGCCAGTGCCTTCGTGCTCTGACCTGCCATCGCTCTGGCTGCCTCCAGCTCCTCCTCCAGAGAGCTGACCTTTCCACCTAGTTCTGGAAACATACGACAGATTTGGGAGCAATGAAAATAAAAATTAAAGACATCAACCGAGGGCAGGATAGGTACGTACCGAGGTGGGTGCTTTCGAGAACGGTAAGCCCTTTCTCTTGCTGGGTCACCCTCTCGAGCAGTCGAGCGTTCAACTCCTCTGCCCCGAGCATCTGCCCCTGGAGAGCGACCACCTCCTTCTCGGTGTCCGACCGGGCCTTCCACTCTGCCTCTAGAGCCTCCAAGGACTTCCAAAGCGCCGCCTCGGTCCCCGCCAAGCGAGCCTACGCCGCATGAAGCTTTTGCTCGGTAGCAGTCGCCCGCTCGACCGCACGCCGCTCCGCTTCTCAGGCTCCCATCGCCTCTACCGACTGATCTTGGGACTCACAGCGGGCAGATTCCCGCTTGCGCCTAAGCTCGTCAACCTGCCGTAATGCCGCCACTTCCTGCTCCATCCGACCATGCTCCTCCCAGAGAAACCGAGACTTGCGGATCGACATCATCTCCAAGTCCTGCGTGACAAGAAGCAGGCGTTTTGAGACGACCATCATGGCCTGATGGATGAAATCAAAAGACAACACCTTGAACATAGAAAACTTACCTTCGCAACATGGGGTAGGTCAATGGTCACGGCCTGATGGACGAGCTCAACCCTCTCCATGGCCTCCTTGAGCTTCGCCCTAGTAAGAGCGAGATAGGACCCCATCGATAGCCCTCTCTCCCCAAGCAGGTGCCAAAGATTCACCTCCTCCTCATCGCGAAGAATGAACTGGGCTTTTCCTAGCTCGCTAGGGTGAGGCCACACTAGCTCGTGGGTCGCCCATGACCTGCCGGAAGATCCAGCCATCGTAGCACCAACCGACGATGGGATCATCGCCCGCTCTTGGGATGGCAGGACGGCTAGCGGCATCACCTCGGTGTCTTCCTCACCGTCAGAGGGGATGTCCACCACCAGGATGCCATGGCTCATAGGCGGCTGCTCTACCTCCACCCTGGCCACGGCTCCTCCGACCCCCTCCAGCTCTAACCAGGTGGGCGAACCGAGCTCCCCTCCACTGGGCGTACGGGGAGCCTAGTTTCCCTCCTCTCCTCATCCACGACTGGCGGGGGAGGAACTGCAAGAGTCACCTCTAACGCGGCCTCTGCCGTCACCACGGGGATCACCACCATCACGGCCGCTGCCGTGCTCACGACCGGTCGGGAAGACGCAACCCCCATTAAGGAAGGTCGTGCCGCCACCAGCCTGCTTCCCCTTCGCTTGTCACAACTCCGCCGCAGGCTGGGTCTCCACTCTTCTCGCACGGGAGGTGGGGAGATCCCCAGTCCTACTGGCTTCTGGCCGAGGATCGTTCGGGGGTCGCGACTCGCTCCCCCTTGGATCAACCGACGAAAGCGCAGGTTAGTCACACTCAAAAACTTAACTATGAGAACAAAGGGAAACATGAATACATACCTAGATGAAAGCGGTAGAACCTTGAAGCCCTGACCGGCTGACGATGAGCCGACCGGACGAGGATCATTCGGGGGTCGCGACTCGCTCCCCCTTGGATCAACCGAGGGTGGGGGTGACCCGGCCGGTCCCCGTTAAGCCCACGAACGGCCGTGGCCACCAGCTCATGGTGAAACCACCGGAGCAACTGGCGGGGCATCTTTCTGTTGGGGGTCATGCACACGCGTCGACCCTGAAGACATAGGGAAACGATCACGTCCCCCCGACCGACCAGCGTGCTCCGCCACACTAGGAGCAAGAGGCCGTGAAGCCGACGATGCCTCCGAAGGGCGCGGTGACCGCGCCCGCTTCGCCTCTTGTTCGCGGGCAGCATCGTCGCATGCGGCGTGCTTCCTTGACTCAGGAGCGTAACCACGTGTCTCCGTACTACGCCCGCCATCGACAGGCGTAGCCGTAGGCACGCGGTGCTCCACCAAGGTCACGGTAGCGCCCTCGTGTCCCTTGTCCTCCGAGGAACCCACATCGTCGCTGCAGAACCATCGGTTGATCTCCTTCTCCTTCTCAAACCTCCTCCGGACCTTTGCGGTTTTCTTCTTCTTCTTGGCAAGCGTGGCCTCCCTCTGGGCGGCTTGCTGAGCTGTGCCTTCCGCCCCTCTCGGAAGATGCGGTCAGGATTTATAGCCCGCGAGCCCCTGCGAAATAGGTGGCTTAAAATCGATCTAAAGATCAAAATAGAAAGGAAAAAGGTCATGGGAAAGGAGTATACCAGATCGGACAGCTTTGTGGCATGGAGAGGTCTGGGCGTCCCTTCGAGGGACTCATCATCCCCCAACTGCAGCACCCGATCAAGATAACTCCAGACTTCATCCCTTGACAACTCCTCCGGTGACGCGTGGTTGGGATCCGTCAGGTCAGAGTATTCCCACATCGGTCGTGTTCTCTCCACCAACGGGGCAACCTGACGGCGGAAGAAGGTATGGAAGACTCGTAACCCGTCGAGGCCATGCCGCACGAGCCTCCGAAGCTCCATCTCGATGATCTCCAGCTTGTTCTGCCGATGGGCAGGACCCCACGACCAGCTTTCCCTCCTCTCCGGCCTCTCCCCGATGAACGTCGGGAATGGCGCCTCCGTCGGGTTCCTGACGTAGAACCACTCACTGGGTAGGGGACCGACGGCTTAGGCCGCTTCTGCAGGGCAAACCCGTCGACCGGAGCGATTCTGGGCGGTTTCCCCTCGGACAGGGCCCGCCCGCTGAAGATCCAACGGAAGAGGTCCACGTGCGGCTCCATCCCGAGGAAGGCCTCGCAGACGGTGACGAAGCCGGCGATGTGCAGCACCCTAGTCGGGTTGAGGTGCTACAACTCCTGGCCCACTCGTTGAGGAGCCCACGTAGGAACCAGTGCACGGGGTACCCGAGCCCGCGTTCGTGGAAGGCAAGAAAGGAGACGACCTCGTCGGCCCGGGGTTGCGAAACAACCTCCCCCGCGTGGGAGCCCTCCAATACGCCACTTCCTTAGACAGGAGCAGCCCCTTCTCGGCAAAGGCGGCCAGCACCTCCTCATCCACGTTGGAAGGACTCCAGTTCAACATCGCGCCACGGATCTACGAACGGATCTGTAAGTTTTTCCTCTCCCTCGCTCTGCTCTCCTCTCTCCTAGAAACCCCCGCGGCGCACGAAGGTGCTTAGCAAAAAGAAGGAAGAGGAAGCGGCGGTGGTGAAGGAAAGACAAAGAGACGGGAGAAAAAAACCCTCTCCTCGTCCCTATTTAATGCGAAAGGATGTGCGGTGGGACGTGGCCTGGCTGACGGGACGTGCACCAGTGATAGATACTGCTCCGGATAGCGCCCTCATCAAAGCTAATAAACAGGGTCAACAGACCTAATAGTAGATCGCACAAAAAATCAAGTCCCTGGATTGCCGGGCAGAATATAACGCTATCCCAATCAACTTGCAGGATTGATACGTACTCAACAGTTGGAAATTAACTCTCGCTGATAGTCATGGGAGAAGAAATAAACTCTCAGGACACGATATGAAATTAAATGCCTATAAAATCCTAGAATGAAACTTTTAATTAAGAGTGGATGTTTAATCTAAATTTTTATTGTCTTGGTAACAACGCCATAAATCTATCCACTAAGACTAGCCTTAGTTTTCTTTTGCTTCATTTCCGTGCAGTGCTGCCACGAGTGCATGCATGTACCCCAGTACGGGTCAACACGCACGGCTTTGTCAACCGAGACAACTGCTCAAGCTAGCTGCTTCGATCAGCTGTTCCTGATGATAAGCATGAACGGGGAGAGTTAGGAGGCAGGAACCAGGAATACAGGAGACTCAAGTGGATTGCCAGCAGTAAAAAGAGGCGGCTACGTACGTGGTCCCGTGCGCGCGAGAGAGAGGAGAGAGAGGCGGACGTGGGTGGAACCATTCCACCCGCCACCACGGCGAGGAGCACCACACAGGTGTATGTCCGGGGCGCAGGCCAAGGAGGCACCCATCACCTCGCCCGGCACTTGCTCGATCGGATAAGCGTGCCCCTCCCTCCTGCTGTCCTCCTCGGCGCACGCGCACGCATAGCTCCACCTACAGCATCAGCGCATAGTACGTACTGTATTGTTGCTAAAATAAGCAAGCCACTTGTATTCCATTTTCTTTGCCTTGAGTGAGCTCATCGTTCCCCCTTTCCCGTGCTTTGTCTTTTCGATGTTCGCTTTGACCTCACCATAGGCTTCCCTGCTGCGTCACGTAGTACTCACTTCCTCCGGCCTAAGTTGAGTGTACAACGAGTTGCACACCTCTCTTTGCCTAATATATATATCATCCTATTCTAAGAGGGGTGGTGCTATTTTTGACTCTTGAAGCCCCCCCGAATTAGCTCACCAAGAACCACACTCCATGGGAGACTCCAAAGAAAGAGAACCTCTTCCTCGGCTGCTAGATCTTATCCCGGATGGGAAACAATGGAAGGGGAGGGAAGCACAAGGCGCAGGAAGATCAAGGAACGCAGGCTTTGGGAGCGAGGAGGACAAGCAGCTAGAGCTCAAACTCGGTCCTCCGGGTCTCCTAAAAGAAGGGACGACAGCAGCAGCAGCGTCAAGAGACGAAGGGATACGGCGAGAGATTCCGGCTCTCTCGCTTGGTTGCTTCCCGCATAAACCCTCCAAGCCTGCAGTAAACACTACTGCAACTGGGACAAAGAGGGGGTTCTTAGACACCATTGAAGCCAAAACAGAAAGTACCTAGCACCTTATTAGCTGTATTCTTGTCTTGTCCTCTTGTTTACTAGAGATTAGGAACATAGAAACGGAATAGTCTTTTGTTCTGTTGCTCAAAGCTAGCTCTATGATAGTATTTTGTTCTGTTGCCTGAAGATTGTAATGATATACTTTGTTCTATTGTTTAAAGGTCGTGATGAGCAGAAGCAGCAGGCTGGAGCTGGATGTGGGAACGAACTACCACTGGACGAGAAGATACCAGCCGCGAGCGAGAGAAAGACAGGATTCTGCCCGCCAACATCACAGCATGCCCCTCCTGCTGCAACTGTGCACAACAGACCACACGCCCAGGGAAGGTAATAATGGTATAGCCATAGAGATGCTTTGTTTTTACTAGGTCAAAATGAGGCCCCTTTACTTTCTTGCCCAAAAGTTGTTCACTTCAGGTTGTCAAATCATATCATTCTTTTTTTCCCATAAAAGGTGGTCTGCAATGAGTTTTTTTTTTGGGTGGTTTTATCATTTCCTAAACTTGTGGTTTTGAACTTTTCGGTGTAGCTTTACGCCTTTGAGCACTTCTCTTTTGGACTATGGTCGCTATGGTATTCTTGTTAGCACAGTTGCACTGCATAAGTTGAAAGTGGATAATAATAGCATCAATCATTCGACGTCTAACATTATCAACGGTATAGTCAGCTATACTACTTCACAGACAGACTAACTCACCGGCCCTGTATCTGGTACAGAAGGCCTTCAGCTCCGGTTGTCGGTTGGCCTCCAGTCAGATCCTTCAGGAGAAATCTTGCTCATGGCGGTTCATCTAAACAATCCACTGAGCCACATAATAGTGAAGCTAGCATGAAGGAGAAGCTTGCCTGCAAGAAGAATCCTCTTGTAAAAATCAACATGGACGGAATCCCCATTGGAAGGAAAGTAGACCTTGGAGCCTATGACAGCTACGAGAGGCTATCATTGGGCGTCAAAGAGCTTTTCCATGGTTTTCTTGAAGGTGCAAAATCAACAATCAGTTCGAATGAAACAATTACTTAAATTCATTTTAGAGCTTTCAATTTGTGCGCCTTTACAACACGAAGTTGTAATCTTCTTTCCTTTAACACTGTGTTTTGCCTATGTTGCAGCTCAAAAGGATCTATCTAGTGCTGGAAGTACACAGCTAGGGGCCACTGAAAAAATATTTTCTCAATTATTGGATGGGTCTGGTGAATATACTCTAGTTTACGAAGACAATGAAGGAGACAGGATGCTGGTAGGGGACGTGCCGTGGAAGTAAGCTTCTTTATTTGTCATTTACAATTCAACCACACCCTACCAACATAAAAAGGAAAATGTTATAATCAGCACCTCCAACTCAGTAAACATGTTGATTCACGTGCCTTCTCTAAAATTGAATCATCAAATACTGCTAACACTAACTTGAAGTTTGAAATATAATACAAGTCTTTCTGTGTATGTAATCCCTGCAGTGTATTTGTGTCAACTGCTAAAAGGCTGAGGGTTTTGAGGAGCTCAGAGCTTTCCCGTGGTTTGGTAAGCACAAGGCCACCTCAAGTGATGTGTCCGGCTTTCTGTTACATGTTTGATTGCTCCAAACTAAGCATGACCTTCCTTTTAATGCTCTTCCTTTTTTACAGATTGCAGTAGCTCCTAGAAGAGGACCAGATTGCTGAAAGCCTGAAACAGTGACAAAATTCTATCATTTGAGAGGCCTGTTCGGCTGGTATTAAAGTCGGCTGATAAGCCGGCTAAAGCTGTTTTGTTGTGAGAGAAAAATACTGTAGATTCTAGTTTGTTGTGAGCACTGAACCCGGACCATTCCCCTTCTGTGATGTGATGATACCTAATTTTTTGCCTGTAGAGACTAGTCTAATGAGATGAACTAGCATTTAAGATGCATGGAGAGGTCCTGGATATTTTGTAAATTAGGCTACCATGTGATTCGTTGCTGTAGAGTAGTGTCCTATTGTAATTCTACATGGGCATTGGACTTCTAAGAGAAAGTTCGCAAATGCAAGATCTACCAATGTAAAATTACTTGTTCTGTGCGACAGATTTGTAATCCCAACATGCAAATCTAATGTCCAGACCGCAATCGTTAGTAGTACTCACCAATGCGCTAAAGAGAACACTGACATGCTAGTGTCACTGCGACATGGCATCTACATAGTAGCAATTTCCACCATGTTCGCTTGTTGGTTTCAGCCAGGCTTATTCAACCAGTCAACAGTGTTTTTCTCTCATAACAAACCAGCACCAGCCAGCCCAAATCAGCCCAGAAACCAACCAGCGAACACGACGTTCATGTGGTATTTTCAATTACTCTAGGGCACACAAAAATTGGGAAAAGAGCAAGGTGTCCACTTCTAACCTCCCCCTTCAAATGTTGTCTCAAGCACCATGAGCAATAACAAACCATGGAAGCAAAGCATGTGCTAGTGCCTTCATGGCTGTTTTGTACCAAATTGCTATCCTATATGCCAGTAGCAGACCCAAAGCTTTCTAGGAGCTTGGGCGGTTTAGTAGTGGGCTAAGCAGCTAAGCAGGCCTAATCTCCTCTATATATGGGCTACACAATAATTAGATCTAGTGGAGTTGAACACCAAGGAGCCTGGGCGAAGGTCCAGGGTCGCCAGGCCCTGGGTTGCCAGTGCTATATGCCAATAGTGTCAGGACTGTGACTTCACACACGAGGGGCAACTAGTCCTTTTGTTTGCTTGTAAAGGAATCAGTGAATCACACAATGTCTTCGCTTCTCATGAGTATATAACATTATCCAGGTCATAAATAATTACATGGACCTGATGACACCAGATGCCAAACCTGGAAGTTACCTCCAAGCTGCCCTGGTGGCCCAGTGACCATACCCCCAGAAGCTCTCAAAGAAGTCAAGATAAACAGAAGGTGGCATTGGTTTTCTAGCATGATAGAAACAACACATCAAGTGACACTTCTTAAGTGCTTATCACCGTTCGTGCAATCATGCCTATCACTTGAAAAGTGGAATATTATCGATGCCAAACTTCATGCAAATTTCAACAAAGCAAGCTTCATCCTTTCTGCACAGTTTTCACAAACAAAACTTAAGAACAGCTATGTACGGTACAGAAGAGGACTTAAGTTGCAAGGTGAAAGCATGGAACCAGATATTACGAGTAGAATCCTACGGTGTTCAGCTGTTGAAAAAGGGAGGTCCAAAATAAGACAAATATCTTACCCAAAAAATAAACTGCCAACTAGTCCTCACAGACTTGAAGCACCTTCAGCCTCCTGAGAGTCCTCTTCTAGAGAGCAATATTCACCTGGATGCTTCAAGGCCTAGGAATTGGGGACAAATGAAATGTCTTTGTCACTGGACCATCACTAAATTCCGGACAGCAGGAAAAGTAGAAGAGATGGGGTGAATTACAAAAGGATCTTAGCCCATTTTGCAATATCCTTGCCTGACATCTGTATCTGCAGTGTTGTGAGTTCATGTTGCCGCTTGCAGTTCTAATGTATATTTACCTGTGTCTGTATGGAATAAACATTATACTTCTTTTCGAAGCCGAGTTCTGTTGTACACTTGTGCTAATGAAAGAAAGCCACAAAAACAGATCAGACAACCCAGATTTCAAAGCCAACGTTGTTTGGAGCACCTTCCTGTAGTTGAGTTATAGATTAACAGTACAAAAATTAACCCAGAAAGCAATAAATAAAGAAATTATGCAACAGGACAGATAAGTGTAAAGTTGCACACGCAATTGGCATCATCGACAATTAGGCATTCCAAGATCGACACATCAAATGAAAGAAGGCGATATAGTTTATATGATGATAATCCATAAATCCTAATGATATGCTAGCACATGTGAACATCTCATAGACATTAACCTTTACACACAAGGTGAGGCCGTGTAACTAGTTCAGTTCCCTTTCCCTGTATTGCCAGATTTTCAATGCACTGGCATAAAAAACAAATGGTTGTCTGTGCAACAAGCTCAGTGAACAGTGTCGATATTTTTTTCTCACACGCAGAGAGCTGTGTATCGGTATATTAAGAAGAGAGTCAAGAACAAGAAGAACAGTGTTGGTACTATCCACTGTTCTTTTGTTACTCTGGCTCTAGCTACCACATATAAGGTCACTGTTATCATTTTCATTAAGCAAGATAACTGAATTAAAGAACATCCATGGTTAATATCAAGCCACACCAGCTGGCCTCTTTCTAATGGCATATGGTTTGGTAGTTTATTTATTTACCCCACCAATAATTTCATGACATGTTTATCTCTCTCTCACACACACGCACAGGCACGCACCCATCCACCAACCCCAGATACTCAGAAGCATGCCCTCAAGTAGGATAACCTAAATACAATAAACTAGCAATTTGATCGCAAGAGAATATGTAACGTATTATAGTCAGGGAATGGTCACACCAGTAAATGCAACCTGTGTCGGCTTGATGACTAGCATGAGTTCAACTAAATTTGAAGATGCAAGATATTAAAAAACAATAAATCGCACATAAAAAAAATGGCGCACAGATTCTATTTGCTACAAAGAAGAACATGAATCGAAACAGTTCCTTTACAGCATAATTAGAGATGCAAGTGGGTTTCGTGTCAACCCACACATCCTGTTTCTTTTGATTTGCCAACCATGTGTACAAAGTGATCTATAAATTAAGTAGGTAGTTGAGTAGAGTGAGTCTTGGGTAGAAACACTAGCAAAATCAACAGTGCCACAGAACAAAGCAATAGCATTACAAAAAACTGCCACCAAAACTTAAAAGCTGGCAAATCCAGTAGTTCAAAACTACACTAAAACTTGAAGACCTCTCATTGGTAGTTGATCCAACTTGACTGCAACACATAACCTATAAAATAAGAGCAGGTGACAAGGACAGAAGGTTTATTCATCCTTACATTTTCTTCAAAATTTCGATGCTTAAATGTGTTTACTCAACACAAGTCAGAATCAGATTCGGACTTCATCGATGTGAAGAAACTAACATGCAGAAAATTCTCATTTACAATTTGCAAGTCTGTCCTGTTTCTGGACAAACACAACTTTCAACATTGTCGCATGTTTCTCCGGCTTCTATTAATAGTCAGTTCTTTCTTTTTCCAGAAACAGGAGTGGTACAACCCCTCCTGGATATGAACATATATGATATATCATATGGATAAAGAAGAGCATGATAATAGCAAACATTTATTCATTGATCTAATAGTCAGTTATTTATCGATCTTCCCAAATAGCATGAAACAATAATACAGTAACAACAACAAAGCCTTTTAGTCCTAAGCAAGTAAGCATGAAACAATAATAACACCTGCATTTCATTTTATAAGGTGCCACATGCATTTTTTTAGGTTCAAACCTCATAAGCTTGAATCAACGATTAAAAAAATAATTGTACAAAATGATACGATTTGATTCAGAACAAAAGTACTTTATTATGATTTTATTGCTACAAACAATTTAGTATATAGGAGAAATGAAGGGCCAAAGTTTAGTTTTAGAGACATTGCCGAGTCAAACAATGCCTTATATTTTACAACAGAGGGAGTACTGCAGTACCTCAGTTCTCAGCTAGCGGGCCACTCAATCCCTAGGCAGCACAGAGACCATGTAACAACAACAACAACATAGCCTTTCAGAACCAAGTAAGTTGGGGTAGGCTAGAGTTGAAATCCATCAAGAGCCCCAAGTCACGGTTCAGGCACTTCAATAGCTGCTTTCTAAGCACTCCTATTCAAATATAGATCTCTATGTATATCCCAAGCTTTCAAATATCTTTTTATTGCCTCCCCCATGTCAATTTCGGTCTTCCTCTACCTCTCCTCATATTATTAGCTTGGCTTAGGACTCCACAATGCACTGATGCCTCTGGAGGTCTCATTTGGACATGGCCAAACCACTTTAACCGATGTTGGATAAGCTTTTCTTCAATTGGTGCTACCTCTACGCGATCACGTATATCATCGTCCCGAACTCGGTCCATTCTTGTGTGACCACAAATCCAACATAACATACGCATTCCTGCAACACTCAGTTGTTGAACATGTTGAATCTTTGTAGGCCAACATTCTGCCCCATACAACATAGCCGATCTAATCGTTGTTCTATAAAACTTGCCTTTTAGCTTTTGTGGTACCTTCTTGTTACAGAGAATGCCAGAAGTTTGTCGCCACTTGATCTACCCTGCTTTGATTCTATGGCTAACGTCCGCATCAATATCTCCATCCCTCTGTAGCATCGATCCAAGATACCGAAAGGTATTCTTCTTAGGCACTTCTTGACCTTCCAAACTCACATCTCCCTCCTCCTGTGCACCTCCGCCAAAGTCGCATCTCATGTATTCGGTTTTAGTTCTGCTCACTCTAAAACCTTTAGACTGAAGGGTCTACCGCCATAACTCTAGTTTCCTATTTACTCCCGCCTGACTTTCGTCCACTAACACTACATCATCAGCGAACAACATACACCAAGGGATATCCCCTTGTATGTTCCTGGTAACCTCATCCATTACCAAGACAAAGAGATACGGGCTTAAGGCTGACCCTTGATGAAGTCTAATTTTAATCGAGGAGTAACTGTGTTACCATCGTTTGTTCGAACACTAGTCACAACATTGTTGTACATGTCCTTGATGAGGATCACCTACTTTGATGTGACTTTATTTTTATCCAAAACTCACCACATAACATTTCTTGGTATCTTGTCATAAGCCTTCTCCAAGTCAATGAAAACCATGTGAATGTCCTTCTGCTCTCTAAACCGCTCCATAACTTGTCTTATTAAGAAGATTGCTTCTATGGTTAACCTTCCGGACATGAAACCAAATTGGTTTGTGGATATCTGCGTCGTTCCTCGCAGGCGCTGCTCGATGACTCTCTCCCCTAACTTCATAGTGTGGCTCATCAACTTAATTCCCCGATAATTAGTACAACTTTGGATATCTCCCTTGTTCTTGTAGATTGGTACCAATATGCTTCTTCTCCACTCCTCAGGCATCTGGTTCGATCGAAAGATATTGTTGAACATCTTAGTTAGCCATACTATAGCTATATCTCTGAGACATCTCCACACCTTGATTGGGATACCATCAGGGCCCATCGCTTTGCCCCTTTCATTCTTTTCAAGGCTTCTTTGACCTCCGATTCTTGAATCCTCCGCACAAAGCGCCTGTTAATGTCATCAAATAAGTCATCCAGCTGAACGGTGGTGTTCTCGTTCTCACCATTGAACAATTTATCAAAATACTCTTGCCATCTATATCTGATCTCATCCTCCTTCACCAAGAGCTGCTCCCTCCCATCCTTTATGCACTTGATTTGGTTGAAGTCCTTTGTCTTTCTATCGCAAGTCCTAGCCATCCTATAAATGTCATTCTCTCCTTCCTTCGTACTCAAACGTTGGTAAAGGTCCTCATAGGCCCGTCCTTTTGCCTCACTCACCGCTCGTTTTACAGTCTTCTTTGCCACCTTGTACTTCTCTATGTTGTCTGCACACCTGTCATGATACAAGCGTTTATAGCACTTCTTTTCCTTAATAGCCTTTTGCACATCTTCATTTCACCACCAAGTGTCTTTTGAGTCGCATCCGCTCCCTTTGGTCACTCCAAGCACCTCTGAAGCAACCTTCCGAACGCATGTTGCCATCTTCTCCCACATGCTATTTGCATCGCCTTCATCGTTCCAAGGGCCCTCTTCAATGACCTTTTCCTTAAAGACCTTTGATGCCCCCCTTCTAATTTTCACCACTTCGTTTTAGCAACCCTAGCTTGTTTGTTTCCACGAGCTTGCACCAGAAAGCGGAAGTCAGCCATCACCAGCTTGTGTTGAGCGACCACACATTCTCCAGGTATCACCTTACAGTCCACGCATGTTCGTTTATCCCTACTTCTTGTAAGGACAAAGTCGATTTGACTAGAGTATTGGCCGCTACTAGAGGTCACTAAATAGGACTGTCTCTTACGAAAGAAAGTGTTAGCTATCATCCGATCAAACGCTATGGCGAAGTCTAAGACTTCCTCTCTCTCCTGGTTCCTACTACCATATTCGAAACTTCCATGAACCGCCTCGAAACCTACACTTGATGTACCTACATGGCCATTAAGATCACCTCCTATAAAGAGCTTCGCGCTACTAGAGACAACTCTAACCAAGCGATCTAAGTCTTCCCAGAAAAGCCGCTTAGCACTCTCATCATGGCCTACTTGGGGGGCATACGCACTAATTACGTTTAAGACCATATCACTAATGACTAGTTTAACTAAGATGATCCTATCCCCTTGCCTTCTCACCTCCACCACACCATCCTTGAGGCTCTTATCAATCAAAACTCCTACTCTATTTTTATTTGAAGTTGTCCCTGTGTACCAGAGCTTGAAGCTGGTATTGTCCACCTCCTTCGCCTTCTGCCTCTTCCATTTAGTCTCTTGGACGCATAAGATATTTACACGTCTCCTAACCGCTGTGTCCACTAACTCTCTTAACTTACCCATAAGGGACCCTACATTCCAGCTACCTAAACGGATCCTAGTTGGCTCGACTAGCTTCCTTACCCTTCGCACCCACCGAAGTAGGTGTGAAGACCCTTGCTCATTTTGCACCACACACAGGCGCCGATGTGGCGCGCTACTAAGGATGCGACGACCCGATCCTTGCTCACTTGACACCGTGTCCAGATCGCGACACGACGCGTCACGGGGGTGACGACCCGGCCCTTGCTTATTTAACACCATACCGGGTTCCGACATGGCGCGTCGCTAAGAGGGTTACGCCCCAACGGGATTCTTTTGGATTTCATCTCCATAAAAGTGGCTAAGTTTTTACATTTGCTCGCCGCGCCTAACACAACCCTCCTCCTTTACCGGGACTTGGGACCTGCTATGCTGGGACACCAAAGGCGCCCCACCATAGGCGGAGACCATAAGAAGGAAAAAAGATAACTATGCATGCTAAGCATGTAAGTAATTCCTGAAAATTATGACCTTTGTCCAGGAAAGGATGCAATTCTAGCTCTATTCCTAGTCAAACTTTTTAAACTTGGACAAAGTTTATAGAAAAAACTATCAATATTTATAACACAAAATAGGTATACTATCAAAATATATATCATGACAAATCTAATGAAACTTATTTGGTATCATAAATATTGATACATTTTTTGTATAGACTTGGTCAAACTCAAAATGGTTTGACTCGGTGCTATGCTAGAGTTGCATTATTTTCCAGATGGAGTATCACACAATGTGAAGGAGGCCCATTAAGGTCAAATGACTTGTACATTTGAATTTCATTCATCATGAATTGAATGACAATGGAGCACAAAGACTGCATAACTCGGATTAGACACTTTAGTGTTATGGAGTGTGGATAAGGAGTGGTAGAACCATGACCATAGGCTAAGGCCGTGTATATTAGAATGGTGCCAAGCAACCTATACAACTTTTGTACCAGCAGCAAATGTTGGACCAATGGCCTCAAAATCAAGCTTTGGGGCCCCAACTTATGTGTTATTCGTTAGGTACATGCAGGTAAAACCCACTTGCCTAGAAAGTCAACAGCGAATTGAAAACCTGAAGAACTAAACAACAGAATGTTTCCATGTAATTTTGTTTTGTTCTTTCCTATATAAGGCATTAGCAAAACAGACTGTGCCAGTCTTAAGCTTTACATACTAGCAAAATGGTATGTACAAGAACCACACAATTTAGCATCAGTATATGGTAAGATTGTAATAAGGGCTGTGTTCAACATGGGAATGGTAGGCTGTGTTCAGTTGAGGTCAGTCGAATTCGCCCGAGGAAAGACACATATAAAGCTTTTGCTAACAGTTAAGACAATACAACAATAAGTAAAATACTTAGCAAGGGAATGTGCAGCATCCAGCATATAAATAAAAAATATAGGCCTGAATATGTTTTAAGGGGAAAAATTGTTCAAACCACCTGAAACAGATTCGATGGCTCAAGCTACAGTTGTTGTGAAGTATTAGTGGATTGCCCACCTCTTCCCAATCACTTAAGCTTTTGGGTTCATCTGGTTGGTGCACGAAACCTAACAACAGTATGACACAGTTGAAACTTTCAGCAATAAACAGGGTCATTAATCTGAAGTCTGAACGCCAAAGGATGATAATGTAGTGTGAGCCTGTGAGGTTGAAACGATTGAGCAGAATACTTTTTACCATGTGCTATGATCAGGAAGCTGATCCAGTAACATAAATGAACATTATTGCTGTGGAATACACCACAATTATATCAAGGAAAAGAGTGACTAGCAACAAATCACCTTGGACCTTGGTTGATTTCTTTTTTCCATACATTATCAGATACTGAGTTACTGACCAGTCTAGAATACTAGTTCAGGCAGCACGAAACCCCACTAAACCAATCAGAATCAGATAAGGTATTTTTCAAAGAACTATGAAACTATCATTACCCCTATCTCAGAAGTTCTATTTTCAACCAGAAGAATCAAAGCATGAAATAGGAAATAAAGAATTCATTAGCAAAAGCATTAAATTAGGCAATTGTAAATTTGTAATAACTATGACATGCATGGATCACACAGTATCACTAGCTGTAAATTTGTAATAACTATCCTTACATTAGAGTAACACTAGGCTTATCGCTTCCGGGGCAGGCATCTTTTGCAACAAGATGATAAAGCAACACTCCTGCTGCAACACTAACATTCAAACTCTCCACCGCAAGGAATGATCTCAAATCTTGATTACTAGAAGAACTGTCACCTTCTTCCCCTGCATCTGCATCTGCTCCTTCAACAAATACATCAACGTTTCCAGGTATTCTGACCAGATGTGTGCAGGATCGCTCAACCAGGGGTCTCAAACCAGTGCCTTCACTACCCATCACAAGAATAGTTGGCACCCCTATTTCCACTTCAGAGAGAGGTACAGCTTTGTTAGCAATAGTACCACCAAGGACTCGCCAACCATTTTCAGCTGATGAAGACAAGAACTGCATCATGTTTCTGCAGGAGAGTAGCTCAATCAACTCAAGCGAACCTGCACTAGCTTTGCTCACTACTCCACTTAATGGAGCAGAGTTCTTAGCACACAAAACAACACCCTGAGCACCAAAGTAGTAGGCGGACCTAATAATGGCTCCTAAATTCTGAGGATCCATAATCTCATCCAAGGCTATCCACACAGGTGCTTTTCCACCTTCCACCCTGACTGGATCTAACTCCTTTATATTAACCATTTCTAAGGGTGATGCATCGAGCACCACACCTTGGTGTGGTCGGTTATCCACCACCATGTTAAGATCATGCTTTGAAGTCTCAATAACCTTCAGCCCAATCTCCTCAGCCATCCGTAGCACTTTCTCAACTGCCTTCTTATCTTTCCTTTTCTTGTTGTTCCCGCTCAAATCCATACTTTCCTGTATATACAATGCATAAAACTCCCTCCTCCGAGCCGTGAGTGCTGCAAGGACCGGCCCAACACCATAAACTCCTTGCCCCACCATCTTTGGCACCGATGATTCCCCTGCTTCCTTCCCTGTCTTCCTTCCCCAATTCTCCTGCTTGTTCCACTGTCTCACATCCGGCTTGTCAAATGTCTCCCTCCTAAACCTCTCACCACGGGAACCTCCATCCCTAAACTTCTCACCACGGGACCCTCCATCCCTCCCCACAACTCGCTGGTACCTGTCCTTAATCCTTCCCCATTTGGGATTGTCAATTGGTTCATTCTCATCATCATCCTCTTGTTCCCTAATCGCCACCTTGTTTGGCATCCTGTTTCCCGACACCTCTCGTTGTTGATACCTGCCCTTAATCCTTCCCCATTTGGGATTGTCAATTGCCTCATTATCATCATCATCCTTGATCGCTACCTTGTCCTTCATCCTGACTCCCGACACTTCTCTTCGAGCGTACTGGTCGTCTCTCGAGAAGAACTTCTCCGCGGAGCTCTCCCACGAGGAGGACCCGCCGGCGCTAGTCCTAGCAACGGGGGCGCCACTGTTGCCAGTCTCGGCGGCAAGCCAGGGAAGCACCCTCCCGCCGCCAGCCAATGCGGACCCATCTGGCGCGGTGGAGAACGAAGCCCTGCCTCCCAGTCCGAAGCGGGATTCGCCCGGGGAAGTGGCGGCCCTGGCGCTCGCACGGGCGGTTGTGGTCGGACGAGGCGCAGTTGAAGAGGCTGGATGCTTCGAGAGGTAGCCGGCGCGGAGGAGGCCGGCGACGAGGGTGCGGCGGGGCGAGGACGCCGCTGCGAGGAGCGGGAGAGGATGGTACTTGGACAAGTTAGAGTGGAGCATGGCGTCGGCGCCGGCGCGACGGGGAGTGTAGGGTTTTTTTGGGTCCGGGATGGGATTTGCTGCTGGCCCGTTGGCCTTGTAGGTGGCTGACCGGGGTCTCGGGTGAGGCCGTGAGGGGTTTTGGGTGGGCGGCGCGCGCCACTCGTTCGACGAAATGCTGCGACGGCGGTGGGGATAGCAGAAAGGGTTGTTTTCTGCGGAAGCCCTTCAGTTTGTGAGAATTAATAATTATACAACGGAACTGCTCCTGGGAGTCCGTCGGGACGGACCGCCCGGACCCGCCCGGCCCCGCCCAGACCCACCCGCGCTGTGCGCTGCACGCCCCAGCCCGCGTGCCTCCAGCCTGGAGTCGCGCCTCCTGTGGCTGCGCTCCATCTACCGGCGAGATGCCTGCGCCGGGCCTCACCGAACCTCTGTGCTGCCGCGAGCCCCCGCCAGGAGTCGCGCCTCCTGCCGCGGCTACGCTCCATCCATCGGCGAGATGTACGCGCCGGACCTCGGCACCGCCGCCGACCATCACATCAGCGTTGAGCTCCGCAATGACGAGCCTCCATTCGTCGAAGCAGCAAGGTGACAATATTGCAAGCGTATATTGCAAGTGTTTCAGATGCTTTAGAGATATGTTCCAAGTGTTTTATATTGATGTTGCAAAAATAAATCGAAATGTTGCACATGTTGCAATAGTTATACATGTATATTTTAAGTGTATGTTTCGAATGTTTCATATGTTTCAGACGTATGTTGTAATGTAAAAGTAGATCTGGATGTTGTATATATATGCAAGTGTTTTAAGTGTTTTCATACGTACGTTGCAAGTGTTTTTCATCTGGATGTTGCGATGTTTCCAATAACATCTGGATGTTGCGATGTTTCCAATGGCTACACACGTGTTTTCAAATTTTTCTGGTGGTGTTTTGCAAGTGTTTTATTTGAATGTTACAAAAATAGATCGGATGTTACACATGTTGAATAGGACTCAATTGCCGCAGCCACCTGCTGTAGCTGCTGGGACGCTAGCGAGCGGGCAGACGGTCCTCACGTGCAGTCGGCGATGTGGAAAACATCCGGGCGATGCTAGTCCTGCGTGGGCACGCGAAACATGCAACACGGGAACGGGGTGCAGGGAAAATGGGCTAGCACGCACAGACGTCCATCCGGATGTCCAGACGCTAACATCTCCGATTATACAAACCTTTTCCTTCCAAACAATAATCCAAAGATTCGTAGGAGAAAAAAATTCTTATTTATTACATGTAACTTTTTCTGGCTCAGAACTTTTATGTTAGACCGTCACATAATCTTTTTAATCTATTCAGTGTTGCCTTAATATCAACCTCCAGTGAGGGAGCTGGTGGATTTTCACACATATGTCCCTATTTAAACTTTAAAGGGTCCCATATTTAAACAACTGTTCGCTTGAACTTATGAACTGACTCATCAGGCATGGTATATTATTTTTCTCTCACAACGAAACAGTATCAGCCGATTTATAAGCCACGAAACTCATCAGCCGAACAGCTCATCCCCTGTTTTGGGTGTTCTGTCTCAGGCTTCCAAAGCACTGTACAACACTGTTTGATCGGTTCCATCTCCAACAAAAATGATATATGAAAAGAAAGAGCTAGAGGAGTTGTATACTTTGGGCTTCTCCCAAAGGAGCCGGAGCTAGGAGCCCTCCAAAACGGGGCATAAATCGCCGCACCAAGTCACATGTTACTGGCAGATCACATGTTCTTCGTTTTCTCAATGTTATATGCACTTAATTATCATGTTTGTTTAGTTGATACAATGACTTCAAAGTGTACAAATGAATTCATGATGTGCTTAATATCCTTGTGAAAAGAAAAATAGATGATGTGCTTTACTTCTATATTTGTCCTTGCAGGCAAGTCTACACTTAAGGATTCCTTTGTCGCAGCTGGTGGGATTATAGCCCAGTGAAAGCATCTAGGCCCCTAGTTGGATTTCGATGATTAATGTCAATACAAGATTACTATGACTAACGTGTGTTTTGCAGAGGCAACTAAGTTAGGTCATGGTAATGGAGATCGATTGGGCAATCGAGGTTGTCATGCCCCTACGATGGAAATCGTTTCGGTTTTCAAAGGATGGACGACAAGGTTAAGGATAACTAGTTCTAAGTGTCGATTGGAGTTGGAGAGACATTTAGAGTAGTTTAGGACTTTGTTTTTTCCTTTGGCCGTACTATAAAGGGGGGTATGAACGGGTAGCTTGACCTAGTTGAGTCTAGTGAGTTAGGTGTGGTGCACACTTGTTAAAACTAGCTCTAGGTAGCTCCTATGAATGCCTAAGATCCTTTGGAGCAAACTTCATTCACATATGTTCGAAAGTTAGAAGTGAATGGAGGGTCAAACACCGACCGGACGAGCCTGGCTCGACTTGACCGGACCGACGTCGCAGGTCCGTCGATTGTTTGATCGAGGTGGTTAAGTCTGTTGTAGACCGGACGCTGGAAAGGTCGTGGTGACCGGACGCCGAGGGCTAGCGTCCCGGTCGACTCAAAGCAAGGGTCCAGATTTGAAGAGTGACCGGACGCGTCCGGTCAATATGACCGGGACCCGAGTATCCGGCGTCCAGTCGGTTGCTTATAAGCATCCAGAGCGACCGGACGCGTCCGTCCGGTGATGTAACCGACCGGACCTCGCCGTCCGGTCATCACTTGAATCTTTGGTTCATGGGTTGAACTGACCGGAGCGTCCGGTCATCACGATCGGAGCGTCCGGTCGTCTCATGCAAGCTCATAACAGTTAGTTTTTCAGTCGCCTTATAAATAGAAGCTCCACTCGTGAGTGGAGGCACTTTTGCTCATTCCAACAATTTGAGAAACACGTTTGTGAGTGCCAAGAAGAGCAAGGTCCTAGAGAGGTGTTTGTGATTTGAGAATCCAAGAGAGTAATGAAAGGTCCTAATATGGCTAGAGGGGGGTGAATAGCCTATTTAAAAATCTACAAATCAACTAGAGCAATTTGATTAGTATGACAAATAGCGTAATGCAAACTTGCTCTAGCTCTACAAGGGTTGCAAGCCACCTATCCAACAATTCTAGTTGCAATGAATACTTAGGCACACAAACTAGCTATGTAATTACTCACTAAGAGCTCTCAACCTTGCTACTCTAAAGAGCTCAACTAGATGAATGTAAATAATAAAGCAAGCTCTCAATTCTAATTACACTAAAGAGCTTGTATCAACTAGTTTGCAAGAATGTAAATGAGCGAGTAGAGTGATTATACCAACGCAGTAGGGGATGAACCAATCACAAGATGAATATATAGCCAATCACCGGGAGAATGACAAAGAAGAGAGACAATCGATTTTCTCCCGAGGTTCACGTGCTTGCCAACACGCTACGTCCCCGTTGTGTCGACCAACACTTGGTGGTTCGGTGGCTAAGAGGTGTTTCACAAACCTCGCCCACACGATAGGACACCGCGAAGAACCGACCCACACGTGAGGTAACTCAATGACACGAGCAATTTACTAGAGTTACCTTTCGGCACTCCGCCGGGGAAGGTACAACTCCCCTCACAATCACCGAAGGCGGCCACGAACAATCACCAACTCGTGCCGATCCTTCACCGCTGCTCCAACCGTCTAGGTGGTGGCAACCACCAAGAGAAACAAGCGAATCCGCAGCAAATGCGCAACACGAATACCAAATGCCACTAGATGCAATCACTCAAGCAATGCACTTGGATTCTCTCCCAATCTCACAATGATGATGGATCAATGATGGAGATGAGTGGGAGGGCTTTGGCTAAGCTCACAAGGTTGCTATGTCAATGAAAATGTGCAAGAGTTGTCCATTGAGCGGCCATGGGGCTATAAATAGAGCCCCCATCAAATAGAGAGCCGTTATACCCCTTCTTTGGGCAAACGCGCGTTTCGACCGGACGCTCGGTCAGATCGACCGGACACCGCTCTCGCCGTCCGGTCGCTTGATGTCACCACGTGTCCAGACTCAACGGTCATCGCCTCACTCGACCGCCGCCTTCGAACCGGACCGGGACCGAAGCCCCCTGGTCCGGTCGTTTCAAAGAAGCTCCCCGAGGCGTATTTCTTCGACCGGACGCGTCCGGTCCACCTTGACCGGACGAGACCAGCGTCCGGTGCTCAACCCTTCCTATTGTGCTTGAAGTCGGCGGTATGACCGGACGCAGTGCAATCGGCGTCGGATTGATTCAAACGTCCGGTCCACAGGACCGACGCCAAAGATCATTTCGACCAACTCCATTTCAACTCTAACTTCTTCACCCTTGCTCAAATGTGCCAACCACCAAGAATTTTGCATCCGGCGCAATAGAAAATAGACATTTCATTTTTCCAAAGCGTTAATCCCGCCTCACAAGCTCGGCGGGAGGGAGAGAGGGACCCAAACCCATCTCACCCCCGCAAACACCTTGTGCACATGTGTTAGCATATTTTCACAAATATTTTCAAAGGGTGTTAGCACTCCACTAGATCCTAAATGCATATGCAATGAGTTAGAGCATCTAGTGGCACTTTGATAACCGCATTTCGATCTGAGTTACACTCCTCTTAATAGTACGGCTATCTATCCTAAATGTGATCACACTCACTAAGTGTCTTGATCACTAAAACAAAATGGCTCCTATATTTTATACCTTTGCCTTGAGCCTTTTGTTTTTCTCTTTCTTCTTTCCAAGTTCAAGCATTTGATCATCACCATGCTATCACCATTGTCATGATCTTCGTCATTGCTTCAACACTTGGAGTAGTGCTACCTATCTCATAAACATCTTGATAGACTAGGTTAGCACTTAGGGTTTCATCAATTAACCAAAACCAAACTAGAGCTTTCAATCTCCCCCTTTTTGGTAATTGATGACAACCCTTATACAAAGATATGAATTAAAGTTCATTTGAATCCATGTTGCTTGCCCAAGCTTATTTACCATGTGTAAAGGGTATAGACAAGTTTCATGAATTCTAAATGGTAGCAATTGCTCCCCCTACAT